TTCCCCCCCCCCCCCCACCCTCTTTTTGGAATCTTTATTTGCTCAGTGCTTCAGTGCCCACTTCTTTCACACTCAGTCCATCAAGATTTGCAATTGATGGATTTCAAGCTCCTCTCTTTTCTCATCTTCCACTACTTCCTAATCAATTCATCATCAATCTATGCATCTCTTCCATTCCCTAAACAATCTCTCCCTACCAAGTCCGGCTACCTCACCGTCAATGACACAACCAGCTCCGCCATTTTCTACACATTCTACGAAGCTCAAAACCTCACCACACCTCTTTCTCAAACCCCACTTCTCATTTGGCTTCAAGGCGGACCTGGATGCTCCTCTATGCTCGGAAACTTCTACGAATTAGGCCCTTGGCGAGTCTCTTCTTCTCACAGGCAAAACGTCGAACATGTAGCGCTCAATCCTAATCCTAGATCTTGGAATCGGATTTTTGGGCTCCTTTTCCTTGATAATCCCATTGGTGTTGGATTTAGCATTGCTGCAACACCTGAAGAAATCCCGAGGAACCAAAAAGACGTGGCGAAGCACTTATATATCGCGATCAAAAAGTTTATCGAGCTGAATAAATCATTCAAGGATCGGCCTATTTACATCACGGGTGAGAGTTATGCTGGCAAATATGTGCCAGCAATTGGATATCAAGTTTTGAAGAAAAATGTCAGGTTGCCGGTTCGTAGTAGAGTGAATTTGGTTGGTGTTGTCATTGGCAACGGACTAACTGATCCGATTAGCCAAGTTGCTACTCATGCTGCAAATGCGTATTACTTTGGATTGATAAATGACAAACAAAGGGGACAACTAGAGTTGCTTCAAGAAAAGGCGATTTCATTGGCAAAGAATGGTGATTGGAGTGAAGCAACGAATGCTCGAAGTAAAGTCTTGAACACATTACAAAACATGACTGAAATGCCAACTTTGTATAACATTAGAAGGCATAAGCCATACCAAAACCATCTGGTAGCTGAGTTTTTGAACAATGTTGAGGTGAAAAAGGCGTTGGGAGTGAATGAAACTATTGTTTTCGAGGTGTGTAGTAAGGTGGTGAGGGAAGCATTACACGAAGATTTGATGAAGAGTGTGAAGTATATGGTGGAGTTTCTTGTCAAGAATACTAAAGTTTTGTTGTATGAAGGTCAGTTGGATTTGAGAGTTGGCTTGGTGTCAACCGAGGCGTGGGTGAAGAGAATGAAGTGGGAAGGAATCGACAAGTTCTTGGAAGCAGATAGGAAAGTTTGGAGAGTTAATGGCGGGCTAGCAGGGTATGTGCAGAAATGGAGGAACTTAAGCCATGTTGTGGTATTGAATGCTGGACATTTGGTTCCACATGATCAACCATTGAATTCTCAGGCCATGATTGAAGATTGGGTACTTGAAAAGGGAGTTTTTGCTAATGATCAAATTGAAAACTTGTCCACCAATTTGTTTGATGTACTTTAGGACTATGTTGCTCAGACTCTTTAGAAATATCACTTGGTGCTTGTTTGATCCTCCAAAAGTAGTGTATCTTTAGAGGATCCGACACGGATGCAGCTGCATTTTTGAAGAATCCGAGCAACATAATTTTATGATGTAGCAAGGTACTTGTTGTTTTAACTTTGTAAGAGATCATAGTATATGTTGCTATGTTCCTCCTTCAATGAGTTGCTTAAAACTCCTTTAACGTTTTTTTTTTTTTTTGTGATTTCATTAATCCTCTATTTTATCCTCATGAGTCTATCGGAAGCGGTCTTTCTATTTCTAAGATAGTGATAGGGTTTGCATACACTATACCCTCTCCCGACCTCACTTTATTGGACTACACTAAATATGTAATTGTTGTTGTCTAATTTACTCTCATGATCAGTACTAATTAGCTCCTTCGATCCAAGTCCTAGATATTCTTGCTTAATGTAATTACAATTACAAAATCTTGCTTAATGTAATAGCACAATTACATTCACAGACGGATTTCTCGGTTATCAAAAAAAAATTACAATTACATTCTTATTTATATTTTGACTAGAAATATTAAAAGAAAAATCCTTAACTAGTAGGAGTACTGTTATATGGATCTTGTTGTTAGACTATGTTAATAGCGAATGCAAATTTGTTTTTTAAATTCAAGTCATACTCTCATGTTCACCAAATGAGATGGGGGAGAAGAGAGAGAGAAAATAATAATATTATTGAGCAAAAATATGTCCACTCACACGCTTTGAATACGTTTAATACACCAACTTTTCTAGTAAAGTTAGTTTGATAATATTAAATGCGAACTTGTTTTTTTTTTTTTAAATAAAAAAATGATGTCAGACCCAAATATTCACCAAATGAGATGTGAAAGAAGAGGGGTAGAAAAAATTATTACTCCTAAAAATAAAATAAAAATGTCCTCTCACATGTCGCGATTTTTGACTTATAAGTCATAAGTTAGAACTTAAAAATACGTACTTAAGAAAAACTTTTTTTTATTTCACCCAAATACTATAAAAGTAATTTAAAATTATTTTTGGCTTAAAAATACCTAAAAATAAGTTGATCCAAATAGGCTCTATTTGAAGTTGTGATTTTTGAAACTTCAAATTATGTTTGAACATGCATTCTTTTGGAGCAATTTTTTAAACTTTAAACTATTATCAAAATCAAATCCAAAATATATGATCAAACAGATATTTAGAAGAGACAAATTTACAAAATCTAATCCCAATATCTATCTATCCCATTTGTCAAACCTGATCCATTTATCAACACCCACCCACCCAATAATCTGTGACCCGACCCATATCATTGACCCAAAACAGAGAAGATATTTAAGTAATTAGAGATAACAACCGGTAAATCTGTTGCACGTCTGCTCCACTGTGAACCACTCAACTCTCAATTTCTCAAATAACTCAATATTTCTTCTCTCATTCATAGGAAACAAAGTTTCAGCTCACTCTAAACTTAACAATGGCTTCCACAACGTATGGTGGTGGCCTTTTGTGCAAAACTAGAGTTTCTATCTCTTCTTTTCCTTTGATGCAACCCAAAATGAGACCAGGTGAGTCATTAGTGAATACAGAATCACGCGGAATCAGGATTTGAAGTTTATAGCTTTTGAAATACCACATAACTAGTTTTAGTTATTGAATTTGCAATTAAATATTTTATACGTATTTAGTAAAAATTTTAATACAAATTAGGATATAAACAAGAGTTATTGGGTTCATCCTAACTTGTACTTGATAGTGTAGCCCTGTCCCTGAGTGAATATCTATGTAACGTGTAGTTGTGTTATATTGGCTTTTCTATTTACTTTCATATACTGTGTCTGTTCTAATTTATGTGACACGGTTTGACTTGACACAAAATTTAAGAAAAAAATAGTACTTTTGAAATTTGTGGTCTACAAACCTTACATATTGGTGTTAATAAAAGAAAATTTTAAAGTTAATTTATTTTTAATTATGCAGTGACATTCTTTTTGTGATTGACAAAAAAGGAAGTATGTCGCATAAATTAGGACAGAGGGAGTATGTAACAAATGTTACTCAATCTCAAACTAGTTAAGATCGACTATATAAATTCTTCTATGTTTAAAAGATTCTATGTATGTGTTGTTTGTGAACTTACCAAAATCCAACTTCTTAACAAAGGCAAATTGATCAAAATAAAGTTTGGTTACTGTTGCTATACTCTGAATTGCTTTATTATATGTAGAAAAGCCTTACAATGTCTCATTTTGCAATCTTGTAGAATCAGTAGCTATTGTTGTAGGACTAAGAGATAATTTATATTCTTGATCCAAGATTGCTCCTTTCCGTTCTCGAAGAGAATGGTTTAGTGGAAAAGAAGGTTTCGCCTTTAAGTTAACATCTTTGCGATGAAGAGTGGGAGGAGAGATTCTTTAAATCTCTCAAATCGAATGTGTCATATTTGTTATGCTTCATCATATGAAATTGGGGCAGGTTCAGAATTGGCCGGTGAATTCGTCCATCTAAAATTTTAGTTGTTGGTGATCCTACACGTATAAAGAGTGCACATCATAATTTAATCAATGCAAAAGAGTTTATCTCAAGAATGTGAGTGTTTCCAACAAATTCCTTATCGTGCTTCTTGCATTTGGTAGATGTTAACTAATGTTGGGAATCGTATAAAGTTATGGAGGAACATTTCATGTTCAACTTTGAAATTCAAGTTTCAATTGGTTGATTAAGAAATCATCTGTTATACGTTTGTCTGACTTGCAGAAATAACTTACTCCCAGAGACATCCCAGAGTCGGAACTTCCTCTCTCCTGAGGAATGTATCCCACAACATGGGCATGAAGAAAGTTCCACGTATGATCACCAGAGCTAGCTCAGAACCGAGTGGCAGTAGTGATGGAGCTCTTGGCCAGGATAAGGCATGCTTTGTGTTTGCATCCTCTTTTACGAATTATGCATATGATTCTGTTTTTTGATTCTCGCATCATCAGTTTGGAGAAACTTTACTCCGTTTTCCTTATTAGAAGTATGTCCTCTTTCGTGTTTGGTCATTTCAATGATTTGATGCTGATGCAGACACCATTTGGATATACGAGAAAGGATGTTCTATTGATCGGAGTTGGAGTTACACTTCTAGGGGTTGGTTTAAAGAGTGGATTGGAGGTACTTTGATCTATGCTTTCCCTATGTTCCGGTTCAATATATGCTTGTCTGCAATAACTTTTGTCCAAATATCTTATGCAGTTCTTGGGATTTGACCCTTTACAAGCTGGAAATGTCGTTCAACTAGTCCTTGTTTTGGGTCTAACAGTTGGATGGATCTCAACATACATCTTCCGGGTTTCAAACAAGGAAATGACATATGCTCAACAACTACGAGACTACGAAAGCAAAGTCATGGAGGTGCAGTATTTTGATTAACATCAACTAATCTGTCTGTTTCTGTTATCCTTCTTTTTTTTTGTTGTGCATACAGTTGAATGATTTTTAGTATTTTCAAAAGGCGGTCAAGTTAAGAGTTCATAGTAGAGGGACATTTACCTGAGCTACTGTTCTACCAAATAGATTCATTCTAGAACTCTTGCAAATTCTTCAGCTGCTAACGAATATCCTCAATTAGATTGTATCATGTTAGGGAAAAATACAACAGCATTTTCTGAAGCTGGGATTCTATTGCTAGGCACTAGCTGACATATAGTTTTCGTGCAAAGCTGGGATTGCTTCTCTAGCTTAAGATATTATTTCCGGGGATTAAAATTGTGTCTCCAACCTCTTTTACGCATATTGAATAATTTGAAATCAATTTTACCTGAGAGTTTGTTCATCTGAGGAATCATTTTCATCATTCTGATATTTCATAACAAAGACTTTTCTGTTATCATTCTATGGGGTTGAGCCTTAAATTTGTCCGACTTGCAGAAACGGTTAGAGAGCTTAACAGAAGCAGAATTACAAGTATTGCTTGAGCAGGTTGAAGAAGAGAAGACCCGCCTGACTAGTGGTGAAGAGGTTAAATAGATATTGTTTTCCTTATGCCTACGTACCGTTGGACCTTGTTACCCATGGAAAATGGTCTGGACCATAATGAAGTCTGTACAATAGTCAATATATGCTTGCCTAACATCTGATGATCACTTCCAATTTGATAAAACAATTCTGGAATGAAAAGGGTTCCCCTAGATGGGGAGTTCATGTTCTGTAAATTGTTTAGGATTTTATAGAAAATACATGATATACGAACTATTATTTATCGCTTGTGCATTTGTTGTTACCTTTTCTATTCAAGCAAAAACATAAATGTGATAAAACAATGTATTGATTGTTATGTTTCTATTCAAGCAAAGAATGGAAGTGTAATGAAGCAACTATTTTGTATTTCCACCTTAACCATGTTAGATGCATACCAATAATAAAAATGAATCTTGGGTTCGAGCTTAACCTCAAAAGATAGCTCATCTGGTGAGGATTGTCCGAGACCATAACCTCAGCCCATGTGGGAGACTCAACACTTAACACTTCCTTCCCTCGTGAGCTGAGGACTGGACACCTGGTGCATGGACAATATAACATGGGGGCTAACAAGAATATAGATGGTTAGACTCTGATACCATGTGAAGAAAATGGTCTTTGAGTTTAACTCAACCTCAAAAGTTAGTTCACGAGATGAAAGATTGCTAAAGATCATATAAGGAGACCACAAATCATTCGATCAACTGATGTGGGAGACTAACACATTGTTGTACTTACACTAGAAGCCTTAAACATTCTATACAACTAAGAAGTTTTTGGAATAATAATCTATTTGCAGCTATGTGCATATTGAAAGTGTGGATTTCCCTAAAAACTCATGGATGATTGAAACGTGGATACTACAACAACATATTCAGTGTAACCGCACAAAGTAGCATCTGGCTGATAAAACGCAGATAAGGAAAAAAATTGAAATTCATCTCACATAATCATGAAACACTAGGAAAAGAATCTCAAAAAGTTGAAATCATTAGTGAAACAAATGTGTGTACACTTAAAAATACTTTATACTTTCCTCTCTATGTACAGAACTTGATCCCTTTCGAATTTTTTGTCTGGTATATTCATGAATCATCGCTAGAATCAGAAGACGAACTGCTCTTGGAAATGTCTGATAAGAAGTTAGCAGGCAATTTTGGGAATCTGACTGCTCTACTATTTTCCATTCCTGGTGATGATGATCCTCCAACAGCTACAAGGGGTTTCTTCTTCTGCATGTTTCTTGTAATCTCTACACAAACTTTATCAACCATTTCTAGGAAATCTTTAACGATGGCGAATAGTTGAAGTGGTTGCCATCCTTTATCATCTGAAGCTCCTGCTTGATAATAATCTGTTGTTTTCTTTACGAGTTCCATTACTCTATCTTGTTCTTCTCTTACTGTTTTCATTTCTTTTTCAGCAGCATCCAGGAATTTTTTCATCTCTTTTCCGAATAGTCCTTTAACATTGTCGCGTTGTGCCAAATGCGTCCTGATTTCAGATATCTGAGCTGTTAGCATCGAGCATGTTTTGGACAGCAAGTCGTAGTCTATTGCAGCTGCTTTCTTTACATTACTAAATGCAGAACTTAAGCCACCCACAATTGGTAAGCCAAGCATCATATACTCCTTCTCTGTCTCATCATTTTCTGTAGTGTTCTTTGATGTTGGAATGGCGCTGTTCGCAGTAGTCTGGCTATTGCTACGCTTCATACTTTGATTACGATTGAGAACGCAACGTTTTCCTTCTGCTCTGACTACTTCTTGCACAACAAAGTGAAGTAACGTGGTCTTACCATCCATACTTTTCACATCAGAGAGTTTTCTGAGAGCAGTAAGTTTAAATGCTTGTGCATTTCCTCTTGAAGTTCCGGCATTCATTCTATTCCCTGCTTTCAGAATGGCTTCAAGAAGTTTCAAGAACAATCTTTGAGCTTTAAGCTCCTTGCAAGACAATTCAAGTGTTTGTAAGTACTCTTTATGATGCTGAATTTCTGTCCCATAATTTGGTCTAAAAAGCATGGCGTTGAAACGAGTAAAGGCGGATGGAACAGCTTTGAGTATATGAAAGAGGAAAGATTCAGCATCAGCTAATCTGGTGGGATCTCCTTCAAATGCAAGAACTTCTGCTTCCTCATCTTTTGTTGGGGCTATTCTGCAGAGTTTCTCAAGAGTATCAACACTTAAACCTTGTCCATCGACAAGTGCATCGATAATCTCTTTACGAGTAACACCAAGTGACCTGAGTACAATTGCAATGTTTTGTGACTTCCTGGTTTCAAGAATGAATATCTGAGAAGGTGGACCTGATATATCTGCTCTTCGACTCAAAGCTCTACTTTCTGTTCCTGAGGGCTTTTTATTTGTAGCAACACATCCAAATAAAGCCTCCATAAGATCTCCATCAAACCTACATGAAAGGTAAACAATGATTGAGTACAAATTATACATATGGAACCCAAAAAGGAGAGATGAAAAGATGTTTACTTGAACGATCCACGATCGAGTTTGTCCCAGACCATTGAATGCTCAACATTAGCATTCAATTTATCCCAATGCAATGGCTTTAGTTTCACTTTATCATTTCCACTTCCTGAAGCCCCTGCACTTGATGATGAAGGCAATCCACTAGGATGAGTAGGTAGTGGAGGGCCTTTCTTTAGTCCTGGTGGCGGTGGTGGTGGTGGACCAAGCGCCTTTGGAATCGCTGATAGAGACAATGGCGGTGCTGGTGGTGGTGGTGGTGGAGGAGCTCGTGATACGAGTTGACTTGATGATTCTTGTTTCTCCATAGGCTTAAAAACAATCCCATCATCAGGAGTTGGTTGTTTATTTTCCAAATCAAGCCAAGAAGGGCTTTGAGAAGTTGAAGATTTGCCTCTAAGCAGAGGCAATTCTTGAATTGGATGATCTGATTTCTTCCTTCCACCGACGCCTCGACTGATCATCCTCTTCTCTTCTTCTTCATCTCTTAATGCATTAACAAACACCTTCTTCTTCTTGAAACTCTCTTTCCTCTGTTCACCACTCTCCAATTTCCTCCAATAAAGCACATCCAATCCATTTTCATCAACAATCACCCCTTTTAAATTCCCTTCAAATTTCAAGAATTGATCTTGAACAACCCCAGGTGTAGCACTAGCACCAGCACCACTAGTACCACCACCTCGTGGATCACCAATCGCACTACCTTCTTGTTGTTTTCTCCTACGCCTAGAGTACCTAACAAGGAAAAAGAACAAAAGGGCAGATAATACAACAGTACTAGCAGCAGTCACACCAATAGCTGTTCCAACAGCCTTGTTTGATGATGTATTTGGTGTTGACACGGAAGGCGGTGGCGCAAGCGTATCAGTGGGGGCCGGTGGAAGTAGCGGAGGAGGAGATGATGATGACGGTGGTGATCGTTGAACGGGTGGAATAGGAGGAGGGAGAAGATTAGGCAAAGGAAAAGGAAAGAAAGTTTCTACATTTTGTGATTGAGATGAAACATTTGGAATAATTGAAAGAATGTAAAAAATGAAGAGATAAAGAATCATAGAGAGGCAAAAATTGATAGCCATATTGTAAAGAGAGTTTTTTGAATTTGAGAAGAAGAATTTTGGTTTATGTTGAGCATTGTTGTTGAAAAACTCTTCTCTCTTTCTTGGATTTGGTATATGGTTTTCTTGCTGACACTTTCAAAAGGGGAGTAGTTAATTTTTCCCGGTATTTTACAAGAGAAATATTGTTGCAAATGACCAAAATACCCCTTACCTAAACCGAAAATTATATTTTATATAAGCTGACGTATATTGCAGCGGCGGAGTCAAGATTTCAATTTTATAGGTTCTGACCTTTTTTTTATGACCATGGTTTCAGGGTTAACTTTCACGCGGGATATCTGTCACATCCTACTAGTAACATGTACTAGGTAACTATGTGGTTCTGAAATTTAGAATAATGATTTCAAGTGTTGATTACTGAGTTTAGAATTTAATGTGTACATATTTAATAAATTTCTTATGAGTATATTGATTGAGCAAAAGTTATTGAATTTGGTCAAATTATGTATCTAGATTTCTACCTACACCTTAGGCAATTGATGGGAGCGAGTTCATTTGAATTCATTATTTTTATATATGTCATAAACATTTATGTAAAAAACTTTGGATACTACTTTATCGGTTCATTTTTGCTTGTTCGGTTTGAATTTTACATATGCTTTAGGGATTGTTTGGTTACTTTAATTTAGTACACGTGATTAGGTGATATATAATTAGAGTTTAAGTTTGGAATTAAATTTAAGAAATAATAATTGATATGGCTGTTTAACCATAATATTTGTATTGATTAATGTTTTGTCTCATATCTTGAAAAATGATTTGAAAAATAAATAATTAATGTTAAGAGTAAAATGTGAGTGAAAAAATATGTTTTTCTCTTAATATATTTCAAGTGATAAGTAAAAGTATGAATATATTTATAGTACAATGGACAAATAAAAATAAATGAAATTTTGAATCCATATTTTCGACGAATTCAAAACGTTGAACTCACTAATTTTAAATCGTGAATGTAATATTTGTGTACTATACATGACATATAGTTGTGAAAGTAGCTCAGTTCGTTTACTTTTTCTAGTAGTAATTGGCCAAAACGTTGAAAAAGTCTCCACATTTGCTGGCTTTTCCCTTTTATTTTGACCATTTTTTAAACACTAGGGTTATGCCTATGCAATTATTTTATTCTTATATATTTATATTTTCAACAATTAATTATTAATGACATCTCATAGTAATAAAAAGTCAGAAGGACTCCATCAACATAAATTAACGTACCAACAAATTTGAAAAATATAGTTTATGATACGTACTTTTACGTAACAGTAATATTTTACAAAAAAAAAATAGAACTTTTTATTTTATTTTCTATTTTGGAGTTCGATATTCATATTGGAGCCGATTAAATTTGAATTCGCCTCGAAAAATTCTACATTGGGTAAAGTGCTCCCTAACAAAGTAGATTTCATATTCAAGGGAACTCAAGCCCGAGACTTATGACTAAAGATGAATGAGTAATTACCACTCTACTATAACCGTGGTTGGTAGAACTTTTCTTATGATAGAAGGAGCTTGG